ACAGAATACGTAATTCGATTTGCATTACGTGTCTCTCTAAACATATTTGCTGTTGCACATTAGTTGTATATGAACGTAGTTTTTTGGAGACAGGGCTGCTATGTTTCCACAGTAGCCCAGAACGGACAAACCAAACACTAGTTAAGGCCTTTCACATTTAGTTACTACTACAGGTTTTGAAGATGAGCTGTATTCGTAGGGTTAGGGGTACTTTAAGCTAAATAAAGTATTTAAAAATCCTCTCTAATTAGCTTGAAAATGCATCGTCATAAAGCTGAAAACATGGCCAGTTTTTCAGAGGACATCAACTGTTGACTTCTTAGAGCTATGTCGTTCTCACAGGAGAGCATTTGATGATCTGATAGAATATGATGTATTGCTGTAGTACCCAGTGTCTGTTAACTGTATATATGTATATTATATAAAGTAGTTACAATGCAACATATACACGAGGTTGAGAGACAAGCCAGTAGGATTATACAGGCTTCAAAGAGTTGTTCATCTCCACATAGTCACAAAAACACAAAACAGTTTGGACTTTTTTGTAGAAGTAAAAGCCCAGCATTAAATATTTTCTTCAATAAAATTACAAAAGTATTATCAATAAAACATACTTAAAGTAAATTCCTTACTGAATTATTATTATATATTATTATATTAATATACATATATATATATATACTCAACTCCTATGGATTTTTAACATTTTATATACTTACATTAGGTAGGGGTAGGGTGAAAGTAAAGAATAAAACGTTAATTTGGTAAAAGCTTCAAGATTTCTGTTAATATTTTTAATTACTAATATGTTTATGAAATTAAATTATTCTATGGTCACTTTTTGTGTTTTAAGTATATTTTGATGCTGATACTTTTGTACTTAACTGAAGAAAAAAGACTTAACTAAGTACCTAAGTAAAGACTTTTACTTGAGAATTTCTTTTTCAGATGTGCAAACTTGTGTGAAGGTGTGTGTGTAATTACAAATGGAGACAAATAGAACAGATCTAAACAATGCCGTATCACAAAGGAAGAGGATTACAGTTAAACTTTCACTTTTAATTCTAATTTCCTGTGTATTCACCCTCTACCCTTCCCCTATCTAATCAAGATTTTTTTTTTTAAAAAGTCAATAACGGTGACGACTTGAGCAAGCATTGGAGTGTCACAATCACACCTCTGGCAGAAGCATCTGGACACATGGCACATATTGAATTGCCCATCAAAGAAGATGATCTTTTTATTATCTGAGAGAAAGTTTTCACACATCAAACTAACATTGTCTTTTGCAGTTCGAGGTGAATATGAGGTGAATAGGAGTTCATGAGGTGCCAAAAAATCTATTCAACAATATTTTCTCACTTGAAGAACGGTAAGATTATGGTAGGGGATAAAAAAAAAGTCAAATATCCAAACCAAAAAGCACAAACACACACACAAAATCAAAAAACGTAACCAAAACTAAAGTGGAGTTTTAGTAGCTATTTATGAACAATAGAATATAGAATAGAACAAACTGACTCTTATACAGACGAGAAATACTATATTATCCAAATTAAATTAGGTTAGACAATTCTAAACTTCTAAAAACATTGAATTTATTTTTATAAAAGAAATTAAAGATCTTTTTAATCTGGCTATTAATTTGGTATACTTACTTCTTTCCTGTACTTTCTATACAAATCCCCCAAAACTTTTTAAGCACTTGGGCTGCATATCTGCGTAAAAGGTGATAAAAAGTAAGTTAGTTATAACTAATTAAAATTAACTCTTGTACAATTACTTTACAAATAAAATGACTGATCTCTAAAGCATGGGAACCAACTTCGGGTTCAGTGTTTTGCTCGAGGACACTGCTGGAGAGCAGTTTGTTTGTTTATTTACAGACATAAAAACTTTTAAAAAATACAACATATGAATTGCAACAAAATGTGAAGGAGAATTACCCAAAATAACGCATATTCATAACAATGGAACACACTATCATTAACAGAACGTACACTCATAGGATATGGCTTAAAGCTTTCATTTGATAAAAAAGAAAACAAGATATTTAGACTTTGTCACAATTCATGGCTAAACTAAGAGGTGTTAATAGTCAAATAGCTGGTGTACAACTATTATCACCCAGGTGCAAATAGACCGTGAATCATTAAATCTGAATCTGCAATTATACAAGTATACGTTTATATTACTTTTAGCTATATTTTAATTACATACAGCATACATATAAAAAGTAGTTAACACTTAGTGAACCCTACACTGCAGCCTGGATGCTGACTCAGAGCTGACGTTTTTTCTCTTTCAAAATGTCAACGTTTCCATTGCGTGAATTTGCTATGTAGTAATCGCATCAGCCAAATGTCACAGCATTTCAAGCAGGTGACTGTGAAAGCCAACAGTAAATTATAGTTAATATGAGTTTCAAATGAAGTTTAAGTAAATAATGTGGAATATCTTCTGAAAAAAATTAGTGAAACATTTCTGTTCTATAGAGAACTCATGTTTGATACAAAAGAGCAAATG